CTCCTGCAAGACTTCAAAGCGAACTTTCCACACAGGAGATAGGGAAGGGAGGCTGGGGGATGAGAACAGGGCCACCTCTGTTAAAAGAGAGGCTTAATTAAGTACATATTTGAAGAGTGCTTTGACATAAAAAAGCAGTAAGAAAACTCAGTACTATTGACACTGAACAAGAAGTGCTTGGTCCTGGGAGCAATGCCTTATACAGATTAAGGAAAAAGTTTATATTCTCCTTCTTTAGGCAAGCATTTTTCAATGGGGTTCTTTATCGATCTGTCACCCTAAGAGTCTGTAAATCAAGCATCTGCATATTGATTCCTTGTTGGTTTAGAAGGAGAGGAAGCCGAGAGTAAAAGATACATCTTAAATCTGAATAAAACTACTGGATGTGTGATGGTAAATGTGCACTCATGTCCTTGCAGAAAGGACATATTAAATATGTAATATTTGGAGGCAAATAGATTACTTGCATAACAATATGATTTTTTCATTTGTTTTTTTAAGAACATATTTTAGCATCAAAATGACCAAAGTAAATGTAACAGCGTGTAAAAATTGGACTGAGGCACTGTGATTATTGTTAAGGGGGAAACAGGAGGTGAAGGAAAGCTTTTGAGCAAGATACACAGGAAGTTTAACCAGAGCAGTTGGTCACTGGAGTCCAGGAGAGCTTTAAATATCTTCAAATGTGTCTTAGTCACTTTTCCATTCATGGGACACAATACCCAAGTCCAAAATTTAAAGGAAAAAAAGTTTATAAAAGTTCTAGTCCATAGTTGGTGGGCTGCAAGGCAGGGAAGCATGACAGAGAGGCAGACAGACAGACAGAGAGAGAGACAGAGAGACAGAGCTTGGAGGGGAGAGGAGGAAGAGAGCACATGAGGCTTTGTGTGTGTGGCAAGGGGATATATAGATATAAACCATAAGAAAACCAACTTCCTACAATGCCATTTTGTGACTCTGCTCATCTCCACTTATCCAATTAAGAACTTTTCTTTTTTAAATTTGGCTTCTACTCCTTTAACTTAGGAACAATATATATATTTTTTTCAGGAACATGTGAGTATAGGCTAAGATGAAGGCAACAGAATGGTGCATCTATTCTCCAACACTGAAATGGTCCATCTATACTTTGCTTCAACTATTTACCTGCCTTATCCCATTAGAAAGCTGAATTTCTGTCTTCTGCTTTAAAGTGAATAAAAAGTGGGCTAGAATGAAAGATTATTGGAGTGGTAGTAAAGAGACAGATAAGGTTCACGCTAAAAAACATGGTTCTGAGCAATCTTCAGTTAGTAAAGCCTAGGTAAGTAACAATTTATACTACTTATATTATTTTCTTCTCTTTGAAACTATTTGCAGGATTGATTGATAGTTTAGAAAAATGACTGACAGATGAATCAGATTTGAGTCTCTCAGGTTTTATTCACACTGTCTAAATCAGACCTTTACCTTTCAGCTGAATTTTGACAATATCTTCTTTTACTCTTATTTCAATGTTGCTCCTTGTATTGGGCTGCATTTTGTCAGTAAAACAAAATACCAGAATCTGGATAACTTATTCAACAAAGAAGTTTATTTAGCTCACAGTTTTGAGAGTTGAAAGTCCAAACAGGGAAACACCAGCCCCCCTGCCCTGACCCTCTCCTGTCCCTCCTCCTCCTCTGCCTCTACCTTCCCTGCCCCTTCCCCCTTTCTCTCCCTCTCCTAGTCTGTTTGCATTATGGTGGGAAAGTGCAGGGAAGTTGTAGACACCACAGGCTGACACGTGAAGCCACAGATCACGATTCAGAAGCCAGGCTCACTATTTTAGAACGACTCCCTCTTGGGGACATGGGGGTCCTCTGAAGGGAAACTACTTAAGCCTTTTTTGGACAATACCACAGTTACTTCCCATTAGGCTTCAACTCTTCTTTTATCTTATGAAAAAATGAAATTTCATAATCAAGTAATAAGAGAAAAACAACAGTTATTACACTGTATGTCATTATCTTCAAAGCAATTACTCAAAGTAAAAGATATAAATCAACAATATTCATACCAAAAGAAGCAAACAGATAACTAAATCTTCTTTTCAATGAACTAAATATATATGGAATCAATTGCATATATATTGAAATGTTTTTCAAACAATGGAATTTGTGATTTTAAGAAGTATTTGAATGTCTTCCTATTTGTCATATATACATATATAAGAAATAATTGCAATATTAGAGCTTGTTATGTCTGATTTATTTCACTTTACATTATGTTCTCAAGTTGCTTCCATTTACCTATAGATGCTTCAGATTTATCATTTTTTATCAGATACTTATATTGTGTATAGACACCATATTTACTTTGTTCATTTCTTCATTGATGGGCCTATATGCTGCTTCCAAGATCCAGCTATGTTAAATTGTGCTACTATAAATATTACAGGGTGTGCACATATCCCTGTAATATGATAATTCTAACTCATTTTTGGATGATATCTAGAAAAGGTCAAATGAAATTTCTATTTTCATTTTTTTGAGGAATCTCCACAGTAATTTTCATTAGGGTTTACCTCTTTAGGGTATGACCACCTCTTAATATCACTACATGGAAAATAAACCTTCCATATGAACCTGAATCCATGTTAAATCATGACATTGTCTTTCAAAGGAACCTCCACAATATGGTAGATGATTGTATTGTGTTGAATGTAAATCTGTTAACTTTTCTCCTTTGTTTAAAATGAATTGCCAATCATCTATTTCCTAAAGGAGTTTTTCTCCACAATTTTTTTTTCTGCCTTAGTATACAAAATTGATGGCATTCATAGAAGGACAAACCAATATCTATGCACTTACTTTCAGTATCATGAGGTATTTGGTTTGTTCTTTTTTTCCCACTCAATGTAAAGGACTAAGCTATATTAGAAATCATTATTAAAATCTGAAATTTGTGTCTCCAATTCATGACTCCTATTAACACACTGCAGGTGTGATAGTAAATCAAGATACTGTAGTTAAAAATCCATTGGACTGTTAAGATAAATTCAAAGTATTTACTTTAATATCCACAATTACAATCTAATTTTTTTCTTTTTTTATATCTACTTTTAACAGAAACTAATGAAAAAGACACCGAAAAAGAGAAATCAACACATAAGACACTGGAGAAATATAGACTATGAAAATTCATACTTTACATAAAAATAATCTATATCTGTAAACCTTATACATTATCAGGACTATTTTAACTATGCATTATTACATTATTGCTAGCTCTTCAGTTTACATCTCTGATGAAACAACAGAATTTAAAATATGGAAATATCAGATAGTCACAAAACTTGTTAGTAATTCAGGTGATGAAAACTTTGAAATACAAATTTCTTAGTCATGCAGTTTTTACTAACATGTGAACTTCCAAAGTGACAGAAAGATTATGTAACTAGATTTCAGTTAATATTATATTGGATTACCTTAAATACTTTTAATAAAAATATTAAGAATTCTACACCTATGAGATTGACAAAAATAAGATTAATTACTCCTTCTGTAGGTAGAGTAATTCATCAGATAAGAGAATTGATGAATTACTGATTTTAAGATAATTTATCTTTGAAAACTCGAGTGGAATTTTCCATCTGTTTATATAGCAAGTACTTTTCTCACCCAAGAATTCAGTAAAACTAGAATCTCCTATGCACAAATTCATGTTATGATAAAAAAGGCTTACGTTCTTAAATTCCACATATATCTTGTTGATAGAGATTTTCCTTTCTAGGTTTAATGTTCTTTCTGAGCCTTCATTTGACAATTATATATCACCTTGAGTGTTCTTTTTATAGAATTTTCTGTGTAACTAACTAAATCATAGATTCTTTAGAGGAAGGAATATGCATTTTTCTCATTATCTCCAAAAGATATAGCAAAAAAAGGGCAAATTTAGTTTAGTAGAAAATGATTTTGAGAAAAAAATTTATTTTTTTTAGTGGTAAAATATCATTTTCAACAAATGTTCAGTTGCTAGCATTGTTCAAGGTAAAAACATGCTTTATGGTTCTTGCTCCTGTAAGGTTTACAGAGAAAGTATGCATATGCAAGTTTTATTTATAAAATATCCAAATAGATGGGCTAGGGGCTGGGGATTTAGCGCAGCGGCATAAGCGCCTGCCTCACAAATGTGTGGTCGTGAGTTTGATCCCTGGTACCGATATAAAAGAAAAAGACAAACAAACAAACAAACAAACAAAAAAAAAACCCAAATAGATGGGATAGACATTACATGCTGGAGAAATTCAGCAAAGGATGTGATCACTGTTGATAATGTTATTGGGAAATTTTTAGGTAAATATCTATGAGAATTAATTGATATTCTATCATATATTTTATATATGTGTATACTTACATATATATTATATTTTTAAGTGATACCAAAAAAAGTGATTATAAAAAATCTTTAAAAAGGTTATCACTGCACCTGTGCAAAATATAATGGGACATTTTGAATTCATAGATAAGGTTACTCTCAGTTATTAGTGCAGTATTTTTGAATGACTAATGTTACTTTGAAAATTAGACTCCCCCTTTTCCAATGCACAATATATTTTTCAGTGAGAAGTCATGTATATTAACATCAATTTTTAAATATACAAATAACTCAGATATGTACAAGTAATGCTTCTACTTTTGTTGTGACAGAGATGTCTAAAAGTTGGAAATAGAAAATAGCATTTTCAATGAGAAGCTATAATATTACAGTGGTCTTGCACTGTCATGACTAAGTCTTATAAGTGAGACAATAACAAAAATCTCTGATCTCTTTTTTGATGTAACTGAATGTCAAAGGAATATGAAGTTCTGAAAGCTCTGACAAGGACATATGATTGGGATCCTAGATTCAGTCTACTTGTCTACAAAGCCTGAGTTCTTTCAACATTGCCATATCAAAATTAACTTGGTCATTTATTCATTTCTATATACACACATATAAACATACACACAAACACAGACATGTAAGTATATACTCACATAGGCTTAGTTTTCTTTCAGGTTGGGGAAAATTTAGGCACTGGAGATTTCTGTTAATCCATCAACACCATGTTAAGCATTTCGTACTGAAAATTCTAATCTCAAATTGTTCCTGTTGGATCTTTGGATTTTCACAGTCATTTGTTCATTTATTCATTCATATATTATGCTAGGTACTGAGGATGAATAAGGTCTCCTTTATTCGAGGAACTCAGTAGTCAATTGAGAAAATAAATATGTAGGCAAATACATGCTGTAGGTAATTAAGAAAAAACAGTTTCTAGGTTTAATGAAGAAATAACCAGGACAGGTAGACAATATATTATATGCACGTTTCGGTAAATCAGAGCCTCCGCTTTTTGCTATCTGTTTTGTGTGTTTGCCACGGAGATAAGAAAGTGCTATTACAAGGTGTTTTTTTTTTTTTTTCTTTTTTCTTTTTTTTTTAATGTAAGCGCGGTTTACTGCATCTTGGATGATGTCCAGCATGGACCTATCAAGTGATGAATTTAGCTCTTTCTCCTGTGCCTTTCCTTTGCCTATATGAAATCCTACATTAAAACATTTTATTCTTTATTATTTATTTGCATAAATGTTATAATTTAAACTAGCACCCCTAAGGTCAGTGGTTTTTATCTCTGTGTAACTAAATCCTAACACAGAATCAGATTTAAAATGAATATTTAATGGCTGTAAATGAAAGAAATATACAGAATTTATAGTTTATAAATTCGTTCATAAAGTATATGCTATATAAATGCATATATATGTATACATTTATTATACATGTATGCACATGCATACATATGCACAAATGTACGTTTGTGTGAATGCATATATATTATAATAAAATTGCATAATTATACAAGACTTAATTTTAACTACTGAAAAATGCTTTTTATTCTAACAGTGTAATTGTTAGAAATTCAGAGCAAGGACTAATAAATTTATTTCATAGATGGAAAACTAGAACTAGGACGCAAGTTTACTGATGTCCAAATCAAATATCATCTATTTTACTAGACTAATAAATGTACTAACATAGAAAATATTGATGATAACACTTATTTCTTCCTTTTACCCAAGGTTTTAGTGTGCTTTGCTAATTATTTCCATAGATATAGAAAACAAAGCTCTTACATCTTCAAAGTTTTATCTATTTTTTTCTGACAGTTACTAAGCTCAAAATATAGTCTTTCCTAAATAGCATATTGATTATGATAAACTATTAATGTTTAGATGAACTGTAACTTAAATTTTGTAAGTTAAAGAAAAAAGCATTATTTTCTGTTTTAAAATGATATTCCTTTCTGCAAAACAAAACAAAAAAAACACAAGTAGGAGATTCATTCCAGCACATGCTTCTTATAGACTTTAAGATCTATCTTAAAATAGAGATCTGTCTAGTTTCTGGGTCTGTTATAAATTGCTAATGTCAAAGCTGAGAATATGTTATTTAGTTTAAACTTTTAAAAGCAGTACTGTTTATGAGAATTATGCATGATCTCATTTAGAGTAATGCAAATGCTAATGTCTAAGTGTTTATATTTTTCTTCTTTATATTAGCCTTGGGTTGTCACATTTATCAGAGATTTGATGTACTACAGCTATTCTTTAAATTTTTTAGTGGATAGTGGTTGTGGTTAAGCATTTTCACATAGTATTTTTGGAAATAAGTTTAGTAATAAAAGATCTGATTAGAAGTAATACTTAGAACTAACAACATTTACATACTTTAAATTTTTGAAAATTAGGTATAAAAGGAATGGCCTAAGATATTAATATTTGAGTATATGGTAGAGTGAGATATGTAAAACAACACTGAATAAAAAACCACCAGATACTGCTTTTGTGTTTGGGCTGTGCCAAAACCCAATTCACAATATTAAACTGCAGTCAATTACAACATGCTGACAAACAAGTACATTTATTCTCTGAAAAAATAAGGGCTAGTATGATGAAATAAGTGAAAAAAAAATTCATAGACCCTAGAACTTCCTCTTTCTATCAAAATAGCGAACAAAAATAAATATGTGTCTCTGTCAGAGAACTGAAAGACACACATCTGTTAACCTGCCTACTTGGGTTGCAAAGCCAAAAGGATTTCGAAAAATGACAGTGGATTATCATTAGCATAACCATCATGTCTATGGAATTCTAATTTCAGTTGCTGTTCTCGATGTATATTTTTATAGTATCAAATCATTGTGACATCTATGAACTAATATACAACTACACACTCAGTAAATGCTTTATTTTCCGTATCTGATAGTAAAGACTACCAAACATTTCATCTGGCCAGGATGTCAGTACTAATACTTTACTACTACCTGTTAGTGGTGCTCTGTTGGGTGGCTTTTTAAAATGTAAATATATTTTTCACAGTTGTAGGCATTGGGAAGCCTAAAGTGTTGCAGGCAGATTTAGTGTCTGGTGAGGGCACATTTCCTAGTTTATTGGTAACACTTTTGTTTGTGTTGAATCCACACAGAGTAGAAAGTGAAGAGTTCCCCTGGGCCTGTTTTATTTATTTATTTATATACCTTTGTTTTTACTTTCTCAGCCAGCATTTTTATTAATGCATATTAGTTTTACAAAATATTTGGTTTCATTGTGGCATTTTTATATATGCTTGCAAACATAGTTTGATCATGTCCATCACTCACTGCCCTTCCTTACAACCCCATCCCCCATGAAATGTTTTCTTGTGTTTAACAGTCTCTCTTATACTTTCATGTCATCTGTTTTTTCTAGATTCCACATATTTAGGAAAATTATGCAATGTATGTCTTTCCAAGTCTGGCTTGTTTTGCTTAGCTTGATGATTTCCTGTTCCACCCATTTTCTTGCAAATGACACAATTTAATTATGCTCTGTTATTTATCCATGTCATAATTTCTTTATCTACTAATCTGTTAATAAGCACCTAGGTTTATTCCAATCATAACTATTATGCATTGTACTGGGCCTCTTTTATAATGGCACTAAAACCACTGATAGTGGATCTACCTTCATGAACTACTTATATCCCAAAATGCCCTGGTTCCTAATACCAGCAAATTAGTTCTGAGAGCTTTAGCATATGGATTTGAAGGGACACAAATATTCAGATCACCCATTACACCTTCCATATTATTTTTATTTCATTTTATTCTTTTATTTTTTTGGTACCAGGGATTAAACTCATGACCTTGGACTTGCCAGGTAGGTGCTTGTGCTGCTGAGCTAAATCCTGGGCCCAATACAGCTACATTTTTAAATTTTAGGACTTTCTCAACTTCCAGGTTTTCTGGAGGGGTTTTGTTTTGAAGACACCTTGCCTTTCCATAGAGCATCACATAAGTTGGGTATTTTGATGATGCTGTAACTACTGAGTTTGATGAATGAGATCTAGTAAATATTGGAAACACATGATGAATCATGTATTAAAAAGCATGAGAAACAAACCTACTGGAAACTCAGACAGGCCCTCAGCTATCAATGTAATGACAAAGAGCAGAGTGTCTTGGGGCTGGTATTAGGGAACATATACATTTTACAGAAACATCAAATAGTGGACGAACCTTTGCAGTTAGAGCTAAGAAAAAGGGGGTGTGAGAACACAGAAATGAGCAAACAGAGCATTATCAAAACTTTGAGTAACAGAAAGGAAAATCTGGGAAATAATGTAACTGAAATGAAGCTAGAAAACAATTGGGGCTAGAATTGCAAAGATCAGAATTTTGAATGTTGTTTTTTATTATCATGGTTTGAAGTTAAAGTAGAGGAAACATTTCCTTAAACCTGTGTTCTGCTTTTCATGTCCAAATATTTAAGCCTCACTTGTAAATCCTGTTTTAGTTCCATCATGCAAGATAGTTAGGTCTGAGATCAATCACCCTTTCTAAATTCTAATGATCACCCAAAACTTGTTGGATGAATATAATACATCTAAAGGACCGATTAGCAACTGAATGAACTATCCTTCTGTTTATAGTTGAATTTCATTCTCTGATTTTGTTTAAATGAAGTCTTATGCCTTAATCAAGAGCTCAATCATGAGCTTAGTGAATTGGTACCAGAATTATATGATCTTGGATTCTACAGATATGATTTCATTTATTGTTGATAATAATGACCACTAGTCAAGGCACACCATAAAGTTTTAAATTAAGCAATTTCTCTCTGAATTCAAGCATATGGTAAGGAATAATTTTTAAAATTTCTAATTGTTGTTCTCTCCTGCAGATGATAATTTTTTGGTCAAATGTGACTCACAGGCAAAGCATTCATTATGTTTCTGTTGCTGTATACCTTACTATATTCATTTTACTGTCCTCAAATGAGAAATCATCTGAAGATAGTAATGATTCTATGTAAAATCTAGAAAAATTTCTCAAATTTTATTACTAAGCAAATATTTATCTGACTAATAGTTTTTGAAGCACTTAAAGCTTATGTGATAATTAAAGACTCACTTCAGTCTAATTGTAGTATATTCCTTTACAAGAGTACATTTGATATTTTTAAGCTAAAAATGCCAGTTTTGCTCTATCATATTTGTTATTAAATGTTGCAAAATTTTAATTGTACTTTTGCATTGGAGACTAAGCTTACCTCTCAGAAATCTAGGTCATCTTTAAATTCAATGGCCTTTTTAGTATAATAAAATGAATATAAACTTTGTGGCACATGCCAGTGCCATTCTATGAAATTACAGCAAAATATGTAATAAAGGAAACACAATTTGAACATTGAAAAGGAAAAGAGGAAACAAAATTATATTGCTCTGCTGGTAATATGCTGATATTGTTATAACCTACAAAATTTATTATATGTTAAATTTTCCTTTCCTATTTTCTTTTATATTTTATATTCAAGCATGTAATAAGCAGGTAAGTATTACAATTAGTTGCCTCATATCTGAATCTTTTTGTTTATCATGGCTGTGGCATGATTTCTTGATTATTTCTCTTCAGTGGAATAAACTGAGCTAATGTTTCAAAATCAAGAAGTCAGTCTGAGACAATGAGATGTGTTTTAGACAAACCTTATATGAAACCTTTATGTGGATGAAATGGCCAAATTTAGTTCCCAAGTTAATGAAAAAAAAAAGCCTCATTCTGATTTCATGGACATTTTGTGATTTCTGGGACAATTATTTAAAACATATAACATATATAGTTTGAATTCTCTTTAACGAATTGAGTGTTATATGGAAGAGAGTTGAACAGAGTAAGTGAATCTGCATTTGAATTGAAAAAGATTGCTAGCACCTATGTTAGCTGGTTTGTTGCAGCTGCCTTTCCTTCCTCCCCCCACCCTTTCTTCCTTTCTTCTTTCCTTCCTTCCCTCTCTCTTTCTCCCCATCTCTCTTCCTTTTCTCTCTTTCTTTTTTTTCTTTCACCAGCCACGCCCACCTATCAAGCCTTTTCATATGCAGAGGCCTTCGGACAGGCCACTGTTGAAGAGTTGTTTAGAGGATGTGCAGCAGAGAGGGAGGAACTCTGCAATTAGAGGCAAAGCTCCAACTTTCAATTCGTGTTTTTTCCTTTTGAGCCACTTGGGGACAATTCATTTAACCTCATTTAAGGCAT